AAAAAGGTGGTAACTACTTGAATTAAGACAATAAGCGAACAGATAAGCTTTTTTGAAAATGTAAAGGTATCCTGCCTTAAATGTAAAAGAATGTCACCGTACACCACGAATTCATCTTGTCGATGAATATACTTTCCGGTGCGAATTTCCAAAAAAATAGTAAAACGACTGATCTGCATGCAGAACTGCATTAATAAAATGGTCGAACAGTTATACCCAACAACCCAACTAGTCATTCATTTATTTTAGGGATTTCCAGAGCTGTTCCTTTATGTGTAAGTAATTTTATACATACTTCCGTTGCAGGACGTGGAAGAGCAGGACAGATGTGGCATATATTTCAATGATGACTACAATTATTTTCAGCATTTGAAAGAGGTGAACGAGGTAAACGGTGTTAGTTTTTTTTTCTTTTTCTTTTTTTCTCAGTATCTGTGCTTTTATTCTTTTGATTTATTTAACGATTACTGCTGGCATCACAATGCGAATATAAAAGTATCAATAGCATCGTTTTGTTTGTTTAATGGAAATATGATGAAGTTATTGTTTAATGGAAATATGATGAAGTAATAAGTGATAAATTTCTCTTTTTGTTAATCACGGCTCACATGCAAAACGTTATTTTGCCCTTGCAGTGATTTCGGTTTGAGAATTTATTGTTTAAAAAATGCACTGCATAAATGGGTCTGGGAATACATTGTTCGTTTAGAATTTATTTTCTAGAACTTCGTTCCTGTCATTTTTTTCACTCTAAGATTTACTGCTTATTCTGTTAATATTTATTCTATATTGGAGTTATGGTTAGGTAAAAGTTGTCGTTATTTAATTGAGCATAACTTTAATGTATAATACTGGGGTTAGAAAATAAGCAGTCAGAGTAAAAATGATGGGTGCAAACTGTTTCTTCACTGGAGTTCAATTTGATTTCCTCGCATAGTTAAAAGCACATTATTCAAAAATAACAAATCTACCTGCAGGTAACAGAAAATGGAGTGGAACAGTCGATTATTAGGATATCTTCAGGGGAAAAAAATCTTTTAACAAACGTATTCGAAGCAAATGGCTATGAAATCAATGCTGAATTGCTGAGGATGGGGACGTTACCGGGTATGTTCAGACGTCTGTTGTTTCCGAAAATTATTTTCTTTATCCTTTCTATGATTTGTTTTTAAGCAATTTCAAGAAACAAGATCTGTAGATTCCAACTTGAATACCTTACTGCTGCCTGATTCTGATGAACCGTTCTGGATGAGAAAAATCCTGTATGTCGATCCATATTAGTTTTGTTATTGAAAGCAAACGATTACTTAACTAACAGCTCTTTCATGATGGTACTAATGAAATACAAAATGAACACGCAGCTGATGTAGAGGATCCAATCTGCGCAAGATTGGATGAAGTGTAGTTATCATATGCAGTATCTCCGTAAGAGTATCTATTTATGGGACTGAAATGGTCGTTTTGAAGCTCGAATGATCTCGAATGCTCGAATTATATTCTGACTGGAACAAATGAAAAACAATTGCACGAATTTGGAAAGTGTTGAATTTCTAGGAACATTATTTTCTTGTTGGGAAAATATTCTTTTAGGCGAAATGCACATCGATCCATATGTAATTGCGGAATTGACAGGTGATGATACCGAATTTGAAAACCCAGCTAATGACTTAGATGATGACTTTGTCTTGCAAGCCAGTGGTGGTGAATTACCGACGTTACGACCACCGGTATCGTTTTTGTTGAGGAAGAACGAATTTCGTGAGAAAGCTGCTAGTAATGACGACAATAGTGACGAAGAAATGGAATTTGGTATATTTTTAATAATGGTATAAAGAGGAAGGTTTCTTTGAGTCTTTTAATGTCTTTCTTTTGTTTTTCTTTTAAAAGAAAAAATATATAAGATTCTTTACTGTTGGGAGTCATTTGATATCTAACGAAAATTACGGTTATGATTATTATTACCAGAAGTGTCATTTTTATCTCTCTCTTTGTAGATTCGAACTGTGATGATGATCCAATGGAGGAGGATGTTTTCGTCCCTATAGAAAATAAGGAAAAACCACGACCGATTGATGAGCAATTCGACAAATTATGTGAAAAATATAATGGAACAGACGATGAAGAAACTAATGAGGTAGTGTTTTTTGAAATTGATGCCAATTTTACATACTGTATTTTTTTAATTCGATTTAGACAAGAAGTATAATTAAATTGAATTTTAGGAAGAAGGGTTTCTTTTGGATCCAAACTCTGATCGAATGAAAATGCTTGCGAAAGATTTCAAAAACAAAAGAGTGGAACTTGTTCTGGTTGATTTTTCTTTTCATATGTTTACTTTTATGCGCCATATGCTTGTCAAATGAAACTTCTTCCGACATCATTTTATGCGCAATTGTGGTTTGAATAATTCGTAGGAGACAAATTTTTTATATGTAATATGTGATTTTATATAATATTACTATAATATTTCTTCATTTGCGTATTAGTGGGTAAATTTTACAGCAAAAGGATTTATTGGTTCAGTGTTATCCCAAAATAAATGATGAAATAGTGGAGGATGATGAACAGATAGAGAAGATTACGATAGTTCGTCCTGAAAGAAGAAAAACGAAATGGGACTGCGAAACGGTTATCTCCGCTTATTCCAATATTTATAATCGGCCTGCAGTCATCGTTGATTCTTCACGTAAACAAAAACTGAAATCGGTTCTAAGGCAAATCGAAGTTAGTTCATTTTGAATATTGTTTATTCTGCTGAAATTTTAAGCTGCTTTTTGTATCTTTTTTAGCTCGCTAGTGAGTTATTTTTTTCAATGTTTTGGGTGGTTTTCTGTTTTGAGTGGTTTTTTTCTAAAATTTATATAAATAAATTTGACATTTATATGGCAGGGTTAATTAATTTGTGAAGCTTGTGGCCTCGGCAAATTTTAAGAAGTTTGCAGTAAATTGATAACGCTGGCAATTTATTTGGTTTACTAAAAATTATCCGTATACGTGTATATCTGCTTACTACGGGTAAATTTCAAAAATTTTTTGCAGAAAATGGACTGTTCAGTTCAGTCAACAACTAACTCAGCGATTTCGAAAGTATTTTCAACAATGATAAGAAAACGTGAGGAAACAGCAGAAGAACGAAAAGCAAGGAAAGCAGCTATCAAAGTGATTCGAGCTGAGCGAAGAGCTGAAAAGAAATGCAATAAATTAACATTCAAGGAAGAGCGGAAGAAAGCGGCTTCATGCTGCCGTGGCTCGGTTATTAAAATGTTGCCGATTGTGTAAACGTTTGTGTGATAGTTGTTGAATTCGTAAATGTTTAATGCTTTTTTGAGATGATGTTTTTTTGGTGGCTTTTGTTTTGTCCCTTATGTAATAAGATTTCGGCTTTCTAAGAACTAACTATTCTGCGTTTTAAGTAAAGTGCAAATTTGATATGGTCGCATAGGAAAACTAGGGTTTGTCAAAGTTTGGAAAATTTCAACTCAACTAGAATACATTTGTTTGTTGTGGACAGTGGTTTTTGGTCTTTAATCTTATATTTAACACAAAAATTAAGGGAGTTACTTTGGGTCATTCTCGTAAAGTTCAGGTTGTTATATCCAGGATATAGCTGTTATTTTAATTCGGAATAAAAGTGTTTGTTTTTCATGTTCGGCTTGATCTTCAGATGTTATTTCGAGATCATCTTTTCGTAAAAGTTTCGGAAAGTTCTAATGGATGTAAAGATTTCTCAGGATAGGAGCGGGGAAAGGATTTATTGCAAAAGTTTTTAAACTAGAGTTCGATTGTTTTAGAATTGGAAATCGGGTGTAAAAGTTCCTGGTGTGTACTTGGTGATGCCATTTGTGGCGAATGTTTGTTAGAGGAGATACTGGGGAGTTAAAGTTATTCAAGTTTTGCGAAGTGTGGAGATGTCATGGATAGCTAGAGGCAGGGTGGGATCAGGTATTTAGAATCCTCAATAAGATAATGAGGATGGCGGGTTTAAGCATCATAGCCAAAAAAGGAGTAGGTGAGTGAGTGGAGTGTGAAGTACATAGCGAACAGATTCCCACATCAAATCATCTTTACTTACTACGAAGTATAGGTATTCTTGGGATGAATAAGTGATATCTGATGCAGTGCTTTCATTAGACTTACTATTATTCATGGCTCCTCTAGACACTCGAGATGTTACTTCATTTTATATCTCCATATCTCTTATTTTCATGTTTCTGTGCTATTTTTCCATTATCATGGAGTGGAACAATTGTTCTTTTCAGAAAGTTGCTTTTTTTTTGATTTGATATGTGTGCGCATGTGCAGTGCATGGACACGGTGGAGTTTTTTTCTGTAGGTCAGGAGTTCAAATTTTTGAATGATTAGATTAGAAATGTATCAGTTATCGATCTGACATTCTTCTTTGTAAAGCCCACGAAACAAAAATCTTTGAGTTATTAGAAAATGCTTATTTCAAATTTACACTTTTTACATTTAGTTGAGACATCTTTCTGAAATTTTGGATTTTCTCATATTTAACAAACTCCGTTTCATATAACACTTGGCTTTTCGTGTCACTTATTACCATTGTTTTGTTTATTATCCTCGTTTAATCGGTTTTACCAAAATTTAGTTCGCTATTTTGATGACATTTTGGATCTTATTATGGACAACATGGATTGCATGGGTTGGTTCTGTTATACTGATCTCAGCCATGGATTGGGACGTCGAGATTGTTGCTAGTCCAGAAGAAATAAGTCTTTCTCATCATGGTCCGTTGTGGACCTACTTTGGTAATGAATCGGAGAATGTCTCAATCTTTCATTCCCGTGAATATATGCAGGATCGCGTGGGCAAGTTCAAGGATGTCAATTCAGAAAGGTTATTTTCAACTTTTGTATATCATGAATTTAATCATAAGTTAAACAGACCGATAATTTACTAATGATGAGATGGATAATTCACTTGGAATTTAAAAGCAAAATGTTGTCCATATAAACTCTTACCTGCTGTTGCTGCTGTTTACAGAATTTTCAACCATAATTATTCATCTATGACGGATTGGCTGAAAGAATATGCTACGAAATATCCAAACATAACATGGTTATATTCAATTGGTGAAAGTGTGAGGAACAAAACATTATGGGTATTGGCTATTTCAAGAACCCCCCGGATTCATAGGCTTGGTGTTCCAGAGATCAAATATGTTGCGAATATGCATGGAAACGAAGTATTTTATTCATCAATTTAAATCCCATTTTTATGTACTAGTAATTCAGTCTTGCTTTAACTTAGTTCTTTGTGTGACATATCTGAGAGTAATTATGGATGTGGTCACATTTTAAAAAAGTTGAGCAGTTTTCCACCTTATTTACTCAAATGTTGCTGAACATTTCCAATCGCAGCTGCCTATGGTGTGAGTAGACCACCGCTTCTTGAGTTCCTTTTAATGAAAGATGATGTAATCAGAAATGTTTTTCATTTCACTTTTCACTAAGCATGCACATTTGTAAATTTTCCGTTTCATCTTTTCGAGAGGGATTGAGTATCTAGTGCAAATGATAAATTCACTATAGTACGCTAAACGTGTTCATTCCTATCATAATTTAATAATTTAGCTTAATCATGGTTACAGTACTTGCTTTTTCCATAATTTTTCTTGAACAGTTTTTCTTTTTTTTTGAGCTTTTTACATAATTTCTATAATTACATGAAAGAATAATTGTAAGTCGTTATTTTCACATAATTTTTAAGGTTGTAGGCCGCGAAGTAATGCTTTATCTTATTGCATTATTATGTGATAATTATGGAAAGAACTGGTACTTGACAAATTTGATAAATAACATGCGAATTCATATAGTACCTTCAATAAATCCAGATGGTTATGAACTGGCTGAAGAAGGTGATCGTTCTGGATTTACTGTAAGTTTATGCTTTGATCACAAAACATTTGCGATTAATTAGAGGCTAAGTTGATGTTATTTCGAATCTAAATTTCCGGATTTTTTGCAGATATTGTTTATATTTGATGTATCAAGTGATTTTCATGTCTTATATTAACAAAACTGAAAAAAGGAATGATAAAAGCAGGACAATAGTAATAATATTGTTATACTGGAAAGAAATCAGTAGCATAACATCAATCATTCGTTCAGTATATTCAAACATTTCGACCTATTTAGCCTTTCTGCTAATTTTATGAAAGAAGAAAACAAAAACTATAATTCAGCAATTTTACAGGGTCGTTCAAATTATCATGGTATCGACCTTAATCGGAATTTCCCAGCACGTTTTCCCTCTCATCGAGATATATCGGGAGGAATGTTTCTTGAAAAAGAAACAATAGCGGCAGTTAAATGGTTCCGACAGTACCCATTTGTCCTTTCTGCTAATTTCCATGGAGGTTCTGTTTTAACTGATCGTCTTTTTTGCACTAATTGACCAATTTGAGAGTTCTCCGTCATCTTACCCACTTGTCCACAGTAACTTTTTCAGGTTCACTAGTAGCTAATTATCCATTCGATGATTCAACTACAGGACAAGACAATATTTACTCACCGACTGTAGATGATCGTCTTTTCGTAGCTTTAGCATATTCCTATGCTCGAGCACATTCTAATATGTGGAAAACTGGCCGAAGGTTGATCAGTGTTTCTTTCCATTATTTTTTTTTAATTAAACGTCTGGGAGATTTTATTTTTCATTTCTCCATGAATTAAAAATTTTTGGCCAATATTCAACATTTTTATTGCTTCTTTCAATCATGTTGGCTTTGTTACCCCATAAAATGTTTTTATAGATCGGATTTATTTAAATCAGGATTTTCTGTAGAAATTTTGCTGTTAAAGATGTGGATTGAATGTTAATGGTGATTTCTTTTTGAATGGTATTACAAATGGTGCATTGTGGTACCATGTAGCTGGTGGAATGCAAGATTGGCAATATGTAAATACAAATTGCTTGGAAATTACCATCGAGATGGGTTGTTACAAATTTCCTCCAAAAAGTATGTTGCCGCAACTGTGGGATGAACACAAGTATTCACTTCTTGCGTACATGGAGTATGTGCATCGAGGTGTCCTTTACTTGTTTTCTTTAGTTTTAGGATACGCATTTTTTATCTTTCTGTTGTCGGTTATCCGTCGGTTTATATGTTTGTGTTTTGCTGTTATTAGATATGCTTCTCTGATAACGAGTGTACTTAGAGAGAGATGGATTAGTAGATGGCTTGAAATAAGTAAATCCTGGACTTAGCATTTCGCTGATATTTCAAGTTATTTTGCGTCCAGGAATCAGAGGATTCGTACTTGATCAAAAAGGATATCCAGTCCAAAATGCCGTATTATCGATTAATCGAGGAAAAAATATAACAACAACGAATGAAGGCGAATTCTGGCGAATTCTGTTGCCTGGTACATACACGGTATTCTTTCTTGGTTTATAAAGATTGCAACATCCCAAGTTTTATTCATTTTGAATGGACCATTTAAATCTCCTTGTTTTGAGGTATCGGTTAGTCATCGGAAATACCTACCGCAAGTTTTCAATATAACCGTTGATGAAGGATCTGCGAAACTTGTCAATGTCACACTGGAAGAGAAACTCTGCGGAGAAAGCAGTTCAGTTTTCATTTTTAATTCCTGATATGTTCTCATCATTGAAACGTTTTGCTAGTATTTAAGTACTTTTTTATTAAAGCTGACAATAAAAGTTTTTAAATATCTATACGGTATTGTTTTTTAAATACTTGAATTAGTTTTTAATTTTGATATAGCGAACAAATAACATTACATTGCAGCTTCATGCCTAGTATTCAAAAATTCATTTCTATAGCAAATAATGCATTAGTGATACAAATTATTTAGTACTAATTAGCATTTAAGCAGTTGATAATGTTCGTGTGAGAGGAGAAGGAGCAGTACGTATTGCGATATTTGGTGTCGATTTATTGGGGAAGTCGATCGTTCAAGAATTAGCAAATGCTACCTGCTTACCGGAGGATTTGTTTGTTCAAATACTTCGACAGTCTACCCTACATTTACTCCCATCATTGTCAACAGAACATATTCTTTATCTGAAGGTTGTTTTTGCTCAGAAATCATACCGAAAAATCGAATTTGCTCTTAAATAATAATATCTGTTAAATTATATCCGTTAATGTTAAGTGATTTTGCAGATATATATGTGTATTTGGATTTTTTTCACCACGCTGGTACGTTTTTGAACAATGATGTTTTTTATCATTGTAAAAGGCCGATGAATATTTTGATTACAGGATCAGAAATTGGATGTTCTGTTATTGTTTGGACAGGGATTACCAAAATTAACATTATTTAGCGCCGGAATTAATACTCCCATTCAGTTCGATCAAAAAAGATTTGATGACAGTTTAGTGATGTGAGTGGCTATTTGTATAGATTTTTTTAGTAGATTTTGTTTTTGATAATGTATGCGCAAGCTTATTCGGTAGTTTCCATCCCTTCATATTTGAGTCTCTAAAAAAAAAAAAAAAATTGATCAGTCCAAATGAGTTTCTTCACCAGACAGTTTGTTTTTGCAGTGCACTGAATAATAGAACCATAAATTGCGTTAATCATATGATGGATAGGGCGGTTTCATCGATGGTTGATACGTTAAATATGGCAAAAACATTTCAACTAGGTGTTTCTTTGGGTTGTGACCTCAGTGATCCAGAATTAACACTCACTACTGTTGCCGCTGTTTTACAGGTACGATTACAAAACCTTAAAATTATTGATATTTGCTAACATCGAAGCACTGTTTTGTTGAAGCTGTCCTTTTTTATGTTCTAAATCCTAAATTGCATGCTGAGTTTCGGAAATTTTGGAAAATTCCGGATTTTTAGATTATAACAAATGTTTTTGTTGGTGTGAAAGATCTTGTAACAGAATATCCGACGATACCATCCACTAATTTGGCGGATTACCCCTTATCAGCAAAGAAGAACGAAACAACTAGTGCTTGCTTACAGTGTGTTGAAGAAGAGAATTGTGCTTCGATGATCAGTATTGGTTTGATGAAAGCTATAGTATTTGGTAATGGCCGTATGCCATACACTCTTGTAATGGCTATTGAACAGGTGCATTGCTTTCAGTAAAATGAGCAGTGGCGAAATATTGAAATTTAGACGGAATCCAAATAAAAATGTTCAGAAAACAAAAGCAAACATTTTTACTGGTACTATTTGCTACTGAAGTAATTTTAGCACATAGGACCATATCTACCTCTCAAATTACGATTTGTTTTGATTTAATGATAGAGTTAAACCATTCATTGGAAGTAATCAAGAAATAAATTTTCAGAAAAGTCGAAATTTTAAGTAACCGATTTCAGAAGACATCATCGATGGTTTATGAATTTGCAACAGATCTGTGTTCAGAATCCTTGCAAAATCGGATTATTCATAAACTGCTGAATACATCAACGTTAATTCTAATTCCTAGCATACCATATACACAGCTATACTGTCATGATTATACGTCAGTGATGCATTTTAAGCCATTCATTGAACAAGTTTTGAATATTTACCCTCTCGTCGATTATGCTATACTTTTGGGTACAGGTGGGATGAAAGTGCGCTATATTGATGTTTCCAATCTGGGAAGAGCGAAAGATTTGGCATTCAATTACGTTTCACAGCATTCACTAATCAAACCAAATGGAAATGAAATGTGTAGCAGGTGAATATTCTGTGAATCTGAATATCTGAAAAAATACACATTCACTCATAATGCAGAGTTGTGTTTTACCTCGGTTTGCTGCCTCAAGTTTAAGCTTTAAGGGGTTTCTGTATTCTTCTTTTCTGTCCTTTCTTGCTTACTAAATAATAAAAAACTTTTGACTGCTTCATCTTCATGCATTAGGGTTAAAAATTCTCATTTCATCATTAAATTTAACGTCAGATTTTAAAATCAAATGCAGCACTTAATAACTTGAAAAACTAAAACATTAAAATACTCCAAAATTATGCATTTTTAGCATTAATCTTCAAATTCTAACCATTCCTCGAGAATTGTTTTGTGTTTAGAGATAATTTTATGCCTGTATCTACTGTAAGTGAACTGCACTGGCGTACGGTGGAATGGCAAAAGGTACCGGATATTCTGCTTGTGGAGACAGCTTGCTGTTATGAGGAAGGCGGACATCTTTACGCTGAAAATAAGGCCTCACTCATATCAACTCTTTCCAAGGTCTCATTTTTTATGAAATTGGGAAATTCAAGTTTTTGGTTTCTTACTTAAGAGTTACATTAAAAAAAGCGGTGAATTGTTTGTTAAATTGATCATTGTTACATGGGACATTTTCAGCCGTTCATCTTTCACAGTTTTTGTTATGTCTAGTTACTAGTCACTTTATTATTCTATACATTTCTTTTTGGGAATATTAAAATTTATGTACAACAGACTTTTGTAGAGAGTACAAGGTTTATCGGGTTCTATCAAAGAAATCTACGGCAGTCCCGTAAAGGCACCGGTTAAGTTAACAGTTGGCAGTTTTGTTTTTTATACGAAACTCGATGGTTATTACTATATTTGGTTACCGCCTGGAGTTCATACCATTGATGTATACAAGGAGAGTTATCATCCGTACGCGTTTTCTGCCAAAGTACGTTGCTACTTCAGTTTTTAGAATTCAGATTCGCCTAAAATCTGGAATAACTTTCCACATAAACTTATTTTTTATTCTCATTGGGTCATTTTAGTAAATGTTTAAAGTAATCCGAAGTGCGGTTTTTGAAAATTTTTCGTTTTCCAATTTTAAATTTTAAAATTTTGAATAAAACTGCAGATTATTTTATCCGAACAGACGGTACACGACATACTGTTGACAGAATCTTCCTTCGCATTTTCATCAGTGTTCAAGAGAGAAAATCTTTTTATTTCATTCACTGCATTTTGCATATTGGTACTCGTTTTTGTAAGTGTTTTTTCTTATTCTGCTGTTCATAACCGTTCGTTAAAATTTGCGAAGTATATTAAATTCAAATTGTTGGGATCAATTCTGAAGAGTCTCACAGTTTCCTTCATATAACTGGACTTTCGATAGCAATCTGGATGCAAAGGGATCATGAAACGGGGCAGAACTTATTCCTTGATGATTATAATGTGAGTTAGCAACAGCGTAATTAGCAAGTGGATGATGATTTAATGGTTCTTATTGTGATGCTATAAATAAACGAATATTCGTGATAATTCTAATTATGCTAGTGTTAAAAATTCCTGGAAACAGTTTTTTAGGTGTTTTGGTGGTAGTTTTTTTGTTTCAAAAAAAGGATAGTAATTGATAGCTTTAATTTGGATATGAGGCAACTTATTTCAAAAATCTTCGAAATAGATGGGATTATTTTCCACAATATCGTTCAGCCCCTTCATTTCTCGTTACCAAAACTGTAAGGTCTTGAAATATATTTCCAGATTGGTCTATACCGATTAAGCGTTGTACATAGAGGGAAATCGATAAAACGATGGGGAGATGGTTTTGAGCGTCTTCCTCTGAATGATTTTGATACAAATGCATCCGATGATGATATTGTTCTTGATTCGACCAAATCATTCCTTCACAGGCCTTATTAAACTATTAAGATTTATCACTTAATTTAGTCAGGACGCACAAAGTGTGCTTTTTTTGCCTTGTTAACACTGCATCTTTTTATCACCTTTTTTATTTCGAACTGTAATTCTGTTTGTTCCAGATTCTTTTGTGTTTAATGTATACTTATACCGTGTTTACGCATTTGTAATCGTATGTATCATTTTCTTGTGCCAAAGTGTTTTGAGTTTGCTGATCACGGAACTAAATTTAACCCAACTTATAAGTCAATACTTTTCCCTACTTTAACAATATGTTCATTTCCCTCCATGATATATTTTTAAACAGAGCAGCATTACAAGAAAAGTTCAAATGTTTTTAATATAAACGTAAATATATATACATTGTCGGGAAAACTCCGAAAATTATAATGCAAATTTTCTGCCGGATTATGGAAATTAAAGCTACGTTCAAACAAAATTTCCATAATATCCAACAAACGAAATCTTGGGTTGACGAAATCTTGTAAGTAAAATTAAAGCAATGAAGAGGATATATCTAACAATGGACAATGTAAAACAAAAACGTCTCAGTACCTACACAATGGACAGTGCCAAAGGGTAGCAATCATGAGCGATTGCATATTTCCGAATTCTTTGAATATTTGAACTTCTTTTTGAATATTTCAGCTATTTGTATTCGTTTTGGAAATAGGCAGAATTTGTTCATTATAGGTACTACTTTTGTAGACTGATTAGGATGCATTCTCAAAGTATCTTTCAGATTATCTATGATAATTTTATATCGAAACTTATAAAAAAAAAATCTCCACACCTCGATCTCCCCATCATTCAGGATAAAACTCTCATAGCGCATTTTAGCCGATCATTTAAATTAGTTCCTTGGTCTATTCTCCATTCTCTTCGTATTATTTGTTGTTCAGTTCGATATTTGATTTGTACTCGTTGAAGTAGTTTCACTTAGCATGATGCTTTTTTTCTTCGCCACATTCTGTATTTCTAAACATATTAATTACTGGAACTTTTTTTTCGTCTTCCTTTACTTGCATTCTCATATTTGTTTCAAGACTGAACAAATAATTACCTGACCTTAATCAGTATGCTTGAGCATATCCGAATGTACCCAGTGTTCCGTGTTTGATATTGTTCTTAATAATGTCACTTTTTTAAGTGAATAGTATGC